ACCTTTTCAGTGTGTAGGGCTACTTTGATAATTTTGGAATAAGCAGTGAGCTACCTGGTCGTAAGCAATGTAAGCTAACTTAAATGAAATTATACACAGTTGTATGCGACTTACATGTGTTTATTTTACTAATACTGATACATACTAATAAACTTAAATAAACTAATAACTAATACTAATAACCCCATTCCTACCAATCGAAGGTGTTTGAAAAATAAACAAAAGTTTTCGTCACCTACAATGTCATGTCACACGATTTAATAAAGGTAAATAAGCAACGCGCTATTTTAAACAAAAACATGTCCAGGTAAAGAATTCGTGTTCAATGAGAAGCCTGACACTCAGACTCACTGACAATTTTTTTAATGTTTGGAGTATAATTTGTTCATCTATAAGTCGATTACGGTATTTCTTTTTAATAAACTTCATATTTGTAAAAGAAGATTCACATAAATACGAGCCCCTTCCCACTTCAGTTGGCCCAACTATTGAAATTTTAGTTTTTTTCTTATCAAACACAAATAATAAAAATGTATCAGGGTGTTATAGGTTTAAAATATTAGCAATCAATATTTTGATAATATATAGTAGAAAAACCAACTTTATCACTCCCTAGTCAAATTTGCAGCATAAAAATAACACATGTTGCAATTACAGCAAATCAACCTATTTTCATTTCAATGCAAAATAAGTCTAATACGCATAGGTGGCTGTGAAAAATAAAAGCCATGACAATTGTTTTTATTAATCACAGCTGTCAGAATACGTTTAAATAGTTTTGGGTAGTTAAGGTTTTCAAAATGGGTAGAGGAAAGGTTATTAGAGAGAAAATTCGGTAACTGATAATTAAATTTTTTAATTCTCGGAAATCAAACTCAGAAATTGCAACTTTGTTAGACTTATCGCGATACAGAGTGAGAAATATTGTTAGAAGATATAAAATAAATGGTTCAGTTAATATTAAGCCACGATATCTGAAAAAAAGTAATATCACAAATGCCGACCGAAGAGCATTAAGAAGAATAATCGTGAAAAACAGGCGTGCCAATTATTTACAATTAAGTGCTCTGTGGAGTGACGCTGTTAGAAGGAGAATTTCGAGGTCCACAACTCATAGAGAGGCCCACAAACTGGGATTTAGCACTTGACTATCTGAAGAGAAAAGTGAAATTTCCAGCATCCATTATGGTCTGGGGCAGTATGTCATCAAAAGGAGTAGGAAAACTTCATTTTATTGATGGAAATGTGGATACAAACAAATATTTGGCAATTTTAGAAGAATCGCTTTTACTAGTGATGGAAGAATGTTTGACATCCGGCCAAGATTTTGTCTTTCAGCAAGATGGTGCAGCGTGCCATACCTCAAAAAAGGCTATAAAATGGATGGAAGAAAATAATGTACCACTTTTGGAATGGGTTTCTAGCAGTCCAGATCTGTCACCTATTGAAACTTTGTGGCACGAGATGAAAAAGGTTCTACGACAACGTCCTGCTCGTACAATCACCGAACTGAGACAAAAGCTTCAAGAAATATGTATTTTTTACGACTATAGTGTTTCTAAAATGTTTTTGAGAAAATAAATTGTTTTAGAAATAAATAGTTTCGTCATGTTTAGTTTATAAAGGCATATTTTTGTACAAATCTTGAAGTGGGCCAACTGAAGTGGGAAGGGGCTCGTAGGTTGAACTGAATAACGCTTTCATTTTCAAGGCATCACGACATAAAACTGAATATTTATCTTTACGTACTGAAGGCCAGATACATTTTGTATTTGAGACTTATGATTTTAAAGCTGAACCATTTTGAAACGCAACTACTTCCATTTCTATCGCATCGAAGTTGCAAACTGTTGGATGTCAATTTCCATGCAGGGTGAAACAACAAATTGCGCCACAATAGCAATTTCCGTTGAAGTCCTTGAAACGATTTTTGAAGTTATCCTTCAAGTTAGAGACTATTTCTATATGACTTTTCTAGTGGACTTTGAGATATCTTTTCTGAAACTCAAGCTTTTTGATAAACGCTTTTATATCAGAAATCATTTCTGCTGGTTCTTTGTCTCTCCCCTGAAGCTACAAACTAGGTTCATTTAATTTTCTGTAATATCCACAAGAAAACCAAAATCTCTAAGCCAGATTGATTTTTACAGTTCCGGAATCGGTTCGTCACGTTCAGTTTTAAACTGTCGCCGCCCCTTGCGTATTTATTCCGCTCAAAGTAATCGAGATCGTTCTCGAACAGATCGCTCACCGCAGTGTTGCCGCTGCTTGTGTTTATTATGAGCATTTGCAAAATTTACGGAAGCTTCTATGATTTTTACACCTTTTTAAAATATGTTGTGAGCCACCAGAATTGCCTTTGCGAACTACCGGTAGCTCGCGATCGACGGGTTTTCAACCACTGCTTTAAACTGTACAAGATTGTTGCGTCCCCAGGCAGTGATAGCCTCCAGGTCTCTCGTTGCACCCTACAGTATATTCAGATAAGAGATAGACCGGACATAAACAAGACCACGTGATCATCGAACGCTGTAACATTCGGCAGGGACGTATTAAGAGTCACGCAGTACATATTTTAGATAGTAGATGCTGCTTTGCGTAACTTTGTAGTAAATTAGCACAATTCGATGTGTATACGATTGGTGATGGATATAGGATCATGTGGTCGTGGGTGAGAAATATATAATGATGTAAATATACATAAGTCTATTACTCGTATTTACCTGCTGGATTTTTTAATCCGGTGGACAGTCCATCTAGAAAGGCCCTCCTGGATGAAGTTACAGAATCATCAACCCATACTTTACTTGTAGTGTGTCCTGCGTTTACCCACGTTTCATCAAGGTAATAAATCTTCCTGTTTTGATTTCTATATTTCCCAATTTTTGTTAAATAATCCCTCCTCCATAGCACAATTTCTTCTCTATCCAGTAGTAAACTATTACGACCCCGTTTTTTCCATTTGAATTTAAATGCTTCAGTAACGCATGGAAGTTGATCGTTTGAAATTTGGCAACGTTGTATCTCCATTTACCTCCTGCAGTACTTTATCTATAGTAGGTATTTCATTCCTAAAGAAGAATTCATGCACTTTCCTCCTAATCGCATGCTTATCAGCTTCATCCAATGATTTAACAATACTTTTGCGATGTTTACTGGTCATTGGCTCAGAAAAGGTGTGATTTTTTTTGTATTGTCTTAACACATTAAACACTGATGCGCGACACACCCCAACTTTGTGAGAAACCTTCACAACAATTTCTTTGATGGTTGATGCCTCGTTCTCCTCGCGCTCGATCTTATTTATATTCAAAATGACATTTCTGCACTCAGGTGTCTTTTTTTAGAGCGTTTCCTAGGTGGACTACAGGAGTTTACAACTTCATCGGCAGTATCTGTACTACTGGGCATTTTGCGCAAGCAGTTGATAACAATAACAATCAATAACAAGGTATAACAATAACAATCAATAACAAGGTATAACAATAACAACGACAAACTCAACAATTTAATAAGATAACAAACGAAAACGTCCAAAGAAATATCAAATTGCAATGATGCACACGACATACGTAACACGTCTGAACCTGAATGTGACTCTGCCTTGATACGACTGCTCTGCCGCTCGGCATAGGCATTTAATTGCGAATTGACCAATGAGCGCTCCTGTTTTACGTCGAGACGGCGGCGTTAGCGTGAAAATCACCCGAACCTTTTGTTTACATCCGGTCTATCTCTTATCTGAATATACTGTAGGCAATTGTCTTCTAAACACAACGTATAAGTTTCATTCAGAAATATTGAAAAATGGAGTGTCAGTTCCGAAATGGCTTGAAACTGACTACGTCGGAGCCGCCTCAAATGATTTTTATTTCATCATCTAAAAATGCTGGCCGCATCAAAAATTCACAAGAAATACCGTATAGTGACAATAGCAGCTGAAACTAATGCAGCACTTCCTTGGAAACATTTTCATTCGCGACTGTACACACCATTAATTCGACTGCATTCTATATCTATATATAGGTAAATGCATCGGGTACTTGAAAGGTTTCTAACCTACCTCAAGGCTTGTCGCGGTTAGTTTTTCCATGACCTGTACTTATACTCGTACGTGACGGCTGCAAGAGGCACGATGCTATTTTAGCGATAAATGACTGAGAAATTACATAAATATATAAGATTCATAATTGGTTATGCGTGTACTGATATAATGAATGCAGGCGACTGTACAATAATATACTAAGTAACATATAAATCCGAACACCCAGTTTAAATGGTTTTACTTTAATAAAATTTTGTATAAGTACTTAATGAAGCATAATAAGTAAATGATAAAAATTTCAAAATGATTGCACTGCTTTAAAGCCCTTTGACCTTTAATAATGTGTGGATGCACCCTGATGTGCTACGCATTCTCCAACGCGCCTAGGCATGCTTCTGATCAGGTGGTCAATGTCCTCCTGTGGTATCTCATTCCAGGCAACCACCAACTCCTCTCGAAGTGCTTCTAGAGTCTGAGGAGGACGTTGCAAATTAAGCAATCTCCTACCCATCATATCCCACACGTGCTCAATTGGGGATAAGTCGGGAGATCTTGGTGGCCATGGCAACAATGTGACATCATTATGTTGAAAGAAGTCTATTGTGACTCTTGCAACATGTGGTCGGGCATTATCTTGTTGGAAAGTTGGATCTGCCAGGGTGTCAAGATAGGGTAAAAGATGGGGTTCTAGAACTTCTTTGGTACACCTGCACAAATGTCCTTCTTCCTGGGTGTACCCGTTGGCGAAATCTGTCACCGTAAACTAACAACATGTCGGCAAACTCTTGATTCGAGAACATTGTAAATAAACACGACGACGTACGCGAACAATAACTAACCACTGTTACCGTTTGCGATCGATTGCCGGTTCGATAAGAGTGATGAATGACCGACGCGCTGTTGTCATGTGTGTTTTAAATATTCAATTTAATTAAACTTACTTACTGACTACAAATTTTGTGTTAACTTAAAAAAACTTAATGCCATTTATTTGTTAATTACTCAATTTAAAAATGTTATAGATTAGATTATAAAAATTAGTAAGATTGTGGTGATTGTGGTCGATATAAAGCACTTAAAGTTGTGAACTATAAAGCCATCTAGACAAAATCTATTGACTTTTGGACCATGGGTCATATGAACTTTAAGACCTGTTTTGACCCCTCCTATTACCCATTTCAATAATACGTGTATATTATTTCAAAAGCTTCTGCTACAACATACAATACTGCTCTGTATAAGCAACAAAATATTCATGGATATCATTAATCAGTCTGTTAGAAATGTGTTTGACAGTTTGACCTTCCTTCAGACGTTCATGATTGCATGAGAAGTAGAGTCAATCTACTCGACCCGATTTCTTTGAATTTACGTTTCTACTTCCGTATTCAATTAACCAATATCAGTATTACAAATTTTCCCTAGACAGTTCCGCCAGTTCTCAATAACAAAACTTGATATTTATTTACAAAATAAAAATCTAAACATAAGATTATCCCATCATGTACCTCCCCATCGTCTAGACAGATATAATCGCATGCTATTTAATCACAAACACTTTATCGAGATGTTTGATAACCTTTTCCACAAGCGAGAATCATCGGGCAGTCCATAGTCACGTCTTTCATCAGTCGATTCCAATAATATGTGTTATAAGTCCAAAGTTTAACATAACAGGAAAATCGTTTAGGGGAAGTTCGAATCATTCAATTAAATAAATTATAGCTTATCAAGCTTACTGATTAGATACTGATGGCTGTATAACAATTTTTAACACAAATCAGGCACAGCAGGAACCTTCGAATTTTTAATAACACACTGCTGGATCGGGTCAAGCGACGGTTGATTCAGAGCGGTCCGTAGGACCTTTTTTGCAGCCAGCGGACAGCTTTTATAGCCTTGAATACCCGAAGGGGGCCTCCTAGGTGACGTGACGAAATTATTATTATTATTATGATAATTGAGATGAGCAGAGTACACAGTACTATAAGCTCATGCAGTAAATATAGTGTACGGACACGTAACACAAATACATCAAATAGAAAAAAATAAAAAAGACAGTTCGTAGCTATAAAGTTTGTACACTCCTCCAGCTATCATACTGCACTTTGAAGCTATTAACTGAAGTAGCACCAACCACACTTTCAGGTAAACTATTCCAGGTGTTGAATATGCAGTTGGGAAGAAACCACTGTCGGACTGTTGTTTTAAATGGCTCCTTATGCAGTTTGAAGCTGTGTCCGCGTAGATTGCTGCGCGACAGACGGTATAGATGCATGAGGTTGGTGCCCATCAAACCATGAAGTATCCTGAACGTAACTATAAGATCGCCACGAAGTCTTCGCTCAGAGAATGAGGTCAGGTTGAATAATTCAAGGCGATCTTCATAGCTTGGTCTTGGTGCTCCAAAAGGGATACGAGTAGCCCGACGCTGTACTGATTCGACGAGATTTCTATCGCGCAGAAGCACAGTGTCCCATACCGGGCCAGCGAATTCAAGAATTTCTTGGCTTTTGATGTAACGTGGTGAATATGCTCTGACCAGAAAAGACGATCGTTGACTACAACGCCCAGATCAGTGTGGCTGGAAACTGCTTCGATGTTGTGGTCAGAGATCTTGTATGTAAATCGCGGATTTGTCTTCCCGAGGTGAAGGACACAACACTTAGTTAGATTTAAGGGTAAAAGCCAACTGACTGTCCATTGACAAACAATATCAAGATCTCGTTGAAGCATAGCAGAATTTACGACAGTATTGTAAATCTTGGTGTCGTCGGCATAAGCTGAACATGTGGAGGAAATCAATGCGGGCAGGTCACTTGTAAACAGAAGGAACAGCACTGGCCCCAAGACAGAGCCTTGAGGAACTCCACTTGCTACATGATGAAGGTGAGACTGGCTATCACTGACGCGCACAGAGAAAGTCCTCCCGGTGAGAAAAGCCTCAATCCACAGTAACAACTCGCCTCTTATTCCCATACATTCCAACTTAAACAGAAGCCTTCTATGTGGTACGCGATCGAAAGCCCTAGAAAAATCTAAGTAGATTATATCAACAGGAAACTTTGTGTCCAGATACTGAGTCCAATCGTTGAGAGAGTGGAGAAGGTTGGTCATTATTGATCGACCAGGGAGATATCCATGCTGATTCTTAGGGATAAGGTCATTTCGAAAGCAAATGACAGGAGCTTATCTAATATGATTCTTTCCGCTATTTTGGCGGCGATAGGAACGAGACTTATTGGTCGATAATTTTTAGCGGAGGATTTGTCGCCCTTTTTGAGTACAGGGGTAACAGAAGCACTAAGCCAGCATGAGGGTAGGGTATGAGATCTAAAAGACGATGTAAATATCAAGCTTAATGGTAGGGCCAGTGCTGAAGCGCAGTTTTTAAGTACAGCAGCCGTCATCCCATCTTTACCAGGGGAGGAAGAGGTCTTCAGATTTCGCAGGTGCATTAATACATCTTCAGGCAGGAACTCAACTTCTCAAAGGCTGTTGGGACACCTATGGCAGATAGTGGTCGGTAGAAGGTCTCCATTAGGCTCATCGACGAAGTCATCACTAAAGGACTCTGCCAGTAAGTTGGCAGATTCGGTGGCATCCATGTGGAGATGACCGTCAGCGTCGCGGATCTGAGGTGATGAAACTTTGGAGTTCAGGTTTGTTCTTAGATACCGAAACAGCTTCTTCTTATTTTTGGAGGTAACGAGTTTTCGTTCATAAGCATGTTTGGCATTATGTAACGTTCTGGATAGGAGGTTAGAAAAGGATCGATGAGACACGTAATCTTGTGAATGGCTACTCCTCCTAAACCGTTGCCACAAAGATCTCTTGTGACGAAGCATCCTTGATATGTTAGAGTTGATCCAGGGCTTTGAGGGGTCACAGTATACCTTCTTTTCAACAGTATTTTCAGCCGTTTCGCTTAGGACTCGTTGAGCGAAAGTGTCCCACATATCGGTTGTAGAACGACTATTTATATTGAACTGGAGAGAAGATAAAAGTGAACAGTGGTCAGACTTGCCAAAAGGTGGCAAATAATCTAAATTAGAAACAAAGTCGGCGTCGTTAACGAATATCAAATCCAGAGCCCTAGGCGTCTGTCCTTCCCTGAATTTGTGGAGTAAATTGATCCAGTCTTATGGTGTGGCCCATGTCGTTGCTCTTGACATCACGAAAGCGTTCGATCAGCTGTGACACGCTGCCCTCTTATGCAAACTTCCATCCTATGGCCTACCAGAGAAGCTTTTGTAGGTGGGTGGGTGACGAGATATCCGTTGTAATTAACGGGTGTTCATCTTCATCCCACAACATCAACGCGGGTGTTTCTCACGGATCTGTCTTGGCTCTGACACTGTTCCTCTTGCATGTCAACGATCTTCTTTCCTGTACGATCAACCCAATCCACAGCTTTGCTGATGACATGCAGGAATTCAGTCGATCTCTGCCGGTGAGCTGGACAAAAAATACTAGCAGCGGCTTCCTCTCTAACAAGAGACCTGGAGGTTATCACTGCTTGGGGACGCAACAATCCTGTACAGTTCAATGCTTCCAAAACACAGTACTGTACCTTGACAAAAAGCGTGCTAGCGCTTACCCGGTTTCGAGTTCTGTCGGAGTCCAAAAATCACCGGGGACTTGATCTGGCACGGACACATCTCCGCAATAGTGGCAGCTGGTGGGAAGAAACTGGGCTAATTGTTTAGGGCTAAGAACTACCTTTCTCCACATGACCTGCTCACTCTACAGGGTGACTTTGAAGTTGAGTCATTAATTTTCAGATAATGGTTGTAGAAGGAAGATAAACCAAAATATGTGTGTAAAAATAAAAAAAAATAAAAAAAATGTTACCTTGTTTTATAAAGTCTCCTCCCGACAAGTATTTCAGTGCGGACCTGTATTTGATCGTGCGGTCTTGGAGCACCGGCATGCCCTTCCCTTTGAGGTCTTAAGTCACCTGATTCACGAGCCCTTTAACAAAGGCACGAGGGGTTGGTTGCACTCGATTGGGAAACCGATCCGCATAAACATGTGCCATTTTTTATTTCGTTTGAGCCACGCAACAGACACCACTATTCACTCACGCGTTACCGACTGACACTGACTGTATACAACTGAATAAAATAATTGTAAAAACATCGTTCCAAATTCTTTCGCTTTTTTGTTTCCGATGCGATGAACCGATAAGGCGGATTATATCCGTTGTTGCCAAACACGAGCACATAATATTATTATTGAGACAGGGCGGTACTCAAACTTCCAAAGGGCTATAACTTAGTTACTTTAATTTTACCAGAAAAATGGTAAAGGAAAAAAATATTTCTTTTGATCAGATCTACTCACTGTTAAAATAAATGACTCAACTTCGAAGTCACCCTATATACAAGGTCCAGATAAGCCCTAGAAGAATGTCAATGGTATAATTGTATGATCCTGTTTGACTGACTTGAGACATTTGATTTCACTATTGGACATGTCCCAACTAGCACAGTAGTGGTATAAGCTTTTGGTAAAAGAACAGTTCAGCCATAAAACCTCTCTATTGTTGTTGCCTGAACACCAAAATGCTGGCTTAATGTTGTGTGGAATGCAAATTTGCTTTCTGCAACATATTTGCTCTAAAGTGAGGTGTTTAAAACATTCTTATAGCATAGTTATACAACACCTTCTAGGGCAAATTTTTAATTGTTGCGTAAACGTTTATACAATTAGGTATTTTATACGGCATATTTGCACGTTAGTCCAAATGGTTGTGTTGTGGCATCCATGGTAACGTTTATAAAACAAACCCGAGCCTTGTTGTTTTGCTGTGCAATTTACTACTTTAGCCAACAAATTGCTCCCAACGGAAGCACTTATACAACTGTTGTTTAGTAAGTGTTAAAGGCTGTACGTATGCTAAATATGTTGGTATAGAACTTCACCATAACCTAACTTTCTGCTGTCATATTTTTGTTAAAATGCCATAACCAATGTTTTAAGACAAACAACGCATGCATATTGGTTCAAATTGTTTTATCAACTGTTCAAACAGAAGATATAGATCTGGTACAAATTCTGGGTAAATCATTCGACTCTGTCGGTATTTCATTTCAGACATTTATCAAATTGTTGTATAACACCTGCAGGCAACACCAAAATATTCTAATAACCTAAAGACAACATGGACGATGCCATGATTATACACAACCACCCGCCATATTGGGCAAACATTTATTCCTCTATTTAATATTAAATAATTATGTTTCAGTTCGAAATTACAGATATAAAGTGATAAACATTAGCGTAATACGAAGCCCGTAGAAATTGCGTAACTAATTTGCACGATAATCACAATAAAATTTGCTGCGCAAGTAATTCAATAGCCCTATATCACAGTGTAGAAGTTTATCATATACCTGTGTATGAAATTCACAATGGCCGATATGTAAGTAAAGAAGATGACTGTAATGTGTTATATATTCTTCTTCGTCTATACAATACATAAGAAATAGTTTGGTTGCAATAAAGTAGAATCACGTAACAGAATAGTTGTATAGTTGACAAAAACTGAATCTTGCACTGACTCAAATGTCCTATAGCGGCTGCAAGAGGCTTACACTTTTGTTGTATAACTGTTACCTGCAGCCCTTATACAACCTCTTAAATGACTGAAGTGTCCTATTAGGTGTGCCCATTCCGCTTGTATAGCAGTTCTAAGAAGGTTTTGCCAATGTTCTTACAGTATACAATGCTGTTTAAGGAATACTGTATAATCATTCTTGCAACTCTAATAGGAGTGATAATTGTTAGTTGGGGTTTGTAACTAATTTTTCTCTCAAAGGGCTTGACGTGTGCGGAACTCAGTCCTTTCCTTGACGCGATTTTCGCAGAACACATAGTCGTAAAGGAATCTCAAAACTTCATTTTCACGTATCGGTTGTTTCCACATCGCTTATATTGAGCAACTGCAACTTTTATTTGTTTAAATACGTGGACCTGCATATCGTATTTTGCAGTTACAAAATATGGTGATGCAAATATATTATCAGGTCGCGCTTTGATGCATGATCTACATCCTTTATCGCGGATGTATGTATATGAACAATGCGAAAAAGATTGTATTATCTATGTTTACAAAAAGATTAAGCTTTCCACATGGTCTGGATGAATATGACTATTGTTGGCATATGATTAGATCTCAGTCATGGGCGCCCATTGGGGGGGGGGGGCAAGTGGAGCATATGTCCCACCTGCTTTCTGCCTCAAAGTGAAATATAGTATTCATAATAAGATACCCGATCCTTGGGTAACAAGTGGCGTGTGAGTTTTTTTGCTCTTCAAAACATCGTAACATAGAAGATATTATTTCTGCTACCATTTTGAATAATTGGCAACTGCGCTTCCCCCTAGGGTATAAATACGAGGGATGTCTTTTAAGTTTTGCATATGGAAATAAAACAACGCGGTAGGTAGTTTTAAATGACTATTGTTTTTTCACTATAAGTTATATACAGGGTGATTCAGAAACCAGTGTATGTCCGAAAATAACACGAAAGGTTTCTATAAACTGCTCTCGAAAGTACTTTCAAATCAAGAATTACATCTACAAATAGCCTGCCAGAGAGACCCGCCTGACTTCGGCCTAATATCCTAACCGTGTCGAACTTCGTACATCCAGAACTATGCGATACGATCGCACCTTTATTCCTAGGATACGAGGGATGCCTTTTAAGTTTTGCATATGGAAATAAAACAACGCGGTAGGTAGTTTTAAATGACTATTGTTTTTCGAAGTATTCTCCACGAAGATTAATACACATCTGCATGTGCTCGCACTAATTTTCGAAACACTTATTCCACTAGTTTTCTGGCAGATCCAAAACAGCATTTTTGAATGCGTCAACTGCTTCTTCTGGTGACTGGAACCTTTGACCACGCAGTCCGTTTTTAATTTTCGGGAAAGTAAAGAAATCGTTAGGACTTCGATCGGGACTATATGGAGGATGGTCCAATAATTCCACGTTTTCTTCCGTTAAATACTGCATTGTTTTTTGGGCTGTGTGCGAGCTTGAATTGTCTTGGTGGAGGATGATTCTTCTTTCGGGGTTGATGGTGATGACTTTTGGCACACAAATGGTGGTATACCAATCCGAAGTAACAGTTCTTTGCTCATTAAGAGGAATTGTTGCAATATGACCAGCTTTTGACTCAAATGTCGCGACCATCTTTTTCGAAACACTTCGAGAACGGATGACTTTTGTTGGCTTTTTTTCACCTTGGAACACCCAAACAGCCGACTGTCGTTTATTTTCTGGTTCATAACAGTAAATCCACGATTCATCACCACTGACAATGCTGTGCACATTTTTTGAGTTTCCGGAATTGAAACCGTCAAGCGTTTTTTGACACCAATAAACCCTGGCTGCTTTCTGCTATTCGGTCAACAGGTGGGGTATCCAACGAGAAACTAATTTTCTTACTCCTAATTCTTCATGTAAAATTTTTTGAATTGAGGTCTTTGAGATCTTCAAGGGCACCTCAAGCTCGCGATATGTCACCTGTTTATCTTCAGTGATGAGTTTGCGCACAGCATCGACGTTTTCCTGGGTGTCTGCCGTTTCTTGTGCACCCACCCTGGGATCGTCGCTAAGACTCACCCGTCCACGTTTGAATTCTCCATAACAACGGGAAATTGTCGACTGATGTGGCGCTTCGTTGCCGAAAACAGACAGTAACCCAGCAAGGCATTCTTGTTGCGATAATTGTCTCTGAAAGTTGTAATAAATTATGGCGCGAAAATGTTCTCGTTTGAGTTCAATTTTTCTAATGAGTTGTTGACACTTAAAAATTCACTGTAGTGAGAACACTGCACGTATTGTTGTGAAACTTTGAATTTAAGTTTACCAAAGAGTGAGGTTAAGATTCAGTACTGACGTTCGATCCGCGCGGCCTACTATGTTTCTCCCTTGTAAGACATCGTGCAACGTAGTGTCAGACTGGCGGCAGTCTTAAGGGGATGATGCGCACGATTCAATTATGCGTTTTGTATTTGATTGCCGATTGCTGCGTTATTACAAAAAAATCGTACACAATCTGACTAAAAATGCATATTGAATAAGATTTATAAAAAATACGCTTATAAATAGTTGGTATTGTTTTCGATTGCGTTTCCAAAATTCAAATTGGGCGAGGCGTTTTTCTTACAGGAAATTCTTGATTTTGGGACGTCGGACCGCAGGTATCCGCCCCATTAATTTTTCCGATAATAGTAGCTCTCGATTTTACACATTTTTCCTAATCTATTCTTCAAACTCCAACTGTGAGGTAATTAGTGTTATAATGTAATCACTTGTTATATTGGAGCAAGTATGACGTCATAAAGTCAATTACCTCACAGTTGGGATTTTAAAAAATATACTAACTGACATATAAATCCGAACACCCAGTTTAAATGGTTTTATTTTAATAAAATGTTGTATAAGTACTTAATGAAGCATAATAAGTAAATGATAAAAATTTCAAAATGATTGCACTGCTTTAAAGCCCTTTGACCTTTAATAATGTGTGGATGCACCCTGATGTGCTACGCAGTCTCCAACGCGCCTAGGCATGCTTCTGATCAGGTGGTCAACGTCCTCCTGTGGTATCTCATTCCAGGCAACCACCAACTCCTCTCGAAGTGTTTCTAGAGTCTGAGGAGGACGTTGCAAATTGAGCAATCTCCTACCCATCATATCCCACATGTGCTCAATTGGGGATAAGTCGGGAGATCTTGGTGGCCATGGTAACAATGTGACATCATTATGTTGAAAGAAGTCTATTGTGACTCTTGCAACATGTGGTCGGGCATTATCTTGTTGGAAAGTTGGATCTGCCAGGGTGTCAAGATAGGGTAAAAGATGGGGTTCTAGAACTTCGTGGATATAACGCTGCGCGTTGATGTTACCTCTGATGAAGATTAAAGGTGACCTGGAACCATAAGCTATAGCACCCCAAACCATAACTCCAACAGTGTGATGAACATGTCTTTCAACAAAAAACTGAGGATTCCTCCTTTCACCACGTCGCCTTCTAACCCTGGCACGACCATCGTGCATGCCTAAACAAAATCGAGACTCGTCACTAAAGACAAATACTGTTCCATTTCTGATCCCAGAGTGACCGTTGTCTGCACCACTCAAGGCGATTACGTCGGTGTTCTCGAGTTAAAGGGAGGACCCAGTGTGGCCGGTATGAAAACAAGCCAAAACTTCTCATTCGTCGGTAAACACTTCGCATGCCAATAGGTCTTCCGTGTTCTGCAAACCATTCATTTGCAATGGACCTGGTAGTGGAGAAACGGTCCCTTAAGGCCAATAATCTTATCCGGCGATCTTCACGGTCTGTTATTCTACGGCGGCGTCCAGTGCCCCTTGCTCTTTGCGTACGGCCTTCTCGAAGCCATGCCTGACAACACCTAACCACAGAGTCTACACTTCTTTGCACTCTAACTGCAATTGCCCGAAAAGAAAGTCCAGCTTCCCGAAGTCCCACTATACGGCCCCTATCAAACTCACTAAGTTGACGAAATCGTACAGGTCTCCGTACTCTAGGCATCGTAACCGATCGTAAAGGATGTCAAGAACCAAAATCCGCGAACGTTGATTCTTTACTGCGGCTGAAATATTCATTTTTAGAGCGTTAGTGAATTAAAAAAAAGCAGTATAAAAACCGGAATGTCCAACTGATAAGGCTGAAAATTTTTTCACTTGTTATTTACAGTAAGATAAACATTCACCAACTTTTAGTAAAATAAAACCATTTAAACTGGGTGTTCGGATTTATATGTCACTTAGTCAAGAAAAATGTGTAAAATCGAGAGGTAATGTTGTTGGACATACTTATCGGGGCCTTCCAAAGCCGACACCTCAAAGTTAAAAAAAAAACGGCCCACCGCTGAGGTTTTTTGGCACACAAGAAGATGCCCGATTCGACAAAAGAACATATTTCCAAAACCTCAACGGTAAGGTAATCAATAAATTTTGTATATGGTGGGCCTGAGGCCCCGAGGCCTAAGTATCAGGTAACTAAATAAGTTCGTGCGGTTGCTGTATATCGCACATTGCCATGGATGTTGTTGATCGATAGCGATTGTTCGTTACCTGTTGTCACTTTAGTATGAATCCTTCTTTTCTCACACAGATAAAAAGTTGCTGAAAATTGTTACATACCAAGTTGTAATAATTGAAAATGGCGACGAATAAAACAGTAATTCGAAGTTGTTTACTGTATGAGTACAAACTTGGTACGGCGGCGCGAAAAATATGTACCGCATTCGGAGATGGTGCCGTTAGTGATCGAACAGCACAGAAGTGGTTCAACAAATTTTCTGCTAGAGATCTCAGTTCCGCACTCAGGGAGACCAAAAGTCATGAACAACGAGGATCTTCGACAGGTTGTGGACGCAAATTCCAGGACAACGTGCCAAGAACTTGCAGAGTGAGTCCTGAGACTATTCATTTGCATCTTCATCAGCTAGAAAAGACGTGGAAGTTAAGCAAGTGGGTCCCACATGATCTGACAAATGATAACAAATTAAATCCTCTTACCATTTGTTTAGCAAACATTTCACGCAACGCTAATGAACCATTTCTTAATCTGTCATTAACCTGCGACGAAAAATGGATCTTGTATTCGAATTCTAAGCGTTCGTATCATTGGTTGTCGCCTACTGATTCGGTACCACACACGCCCAAGACTTCCTTGTTTTGTTGTGTGTTTGCTGGACAGCAACTGGAATTGTCCATTATGAGTTTTTGGAAAGGGGTCGAACCAACACTGCTAACTTGTATTGTGAGCAACTTCAACGAGTACAAGCAGCACTCATCCGGAAACAGCCTTCTTTGATCAATCGGAAGAAAGTGATATTCTTGCAGGATAACGCCAAGCTTCATTAACGCAAAAGTTACCCGAGAAAAAATTTCTGAACTCAGCTGGGAAACGTTACCGCACCCGACATTTCGCCCAGTGATTATCACCTTTTTTGTCTCTTGACAACTGTATGAGGCACCGACAGTTCACTACTCGATTAAAAGCAGTCCGCCAATTTTTTTACTCTAAATCCAGGAAGTTCTACAATACTGGCATACAAAAATTGGTAACCACGTTGGCAAAAAGTCATTGAATGTGATGGTAATTACTTCGACGAATAAATAGTGTCTTATTACACTGATCAACAGCCAAAAAATATCCTAAATAAAATCAAGAAGATATTACTATTTTTAATGTGCTAAAACCGGAATGAAACTTATTTTTTCAATATTAGTTCAAGTTTTAGAGATACGGTAATTATATGTGTTCCTGCTGTGACAGTGTTAATATACTGTAATTCACAAGAATGCACGTGCTACATTTTTATATTCGGCAAGGAAAGATGATGTAATCGGCATGATTGTGTTACGTTATACATACGTGTACATTATATTGTTTTATATTAGCCATTTTTTCCTGAGTTGGCTGACAGCGTTCATGCAAGATGTCTCGAAAGTGTGTAAACAATCCAGATCAGTTTTGTTACGTGTGTGGTGATGTGACTTTTGCGTCTCAGAGACGGTCTATTACTCCACTAATAACAAATGCATATCAGCTTTATTTCGGTTGTAAACTAGGTGATCAAGACAAACAGTGGGCACCCCACATCTGCTGTAATACATGTGCTTCAAGTCTGAGGAGCTGGTTAAATGGCAAAAAACGGTACCTATGCGCTTTGCTGTCCCAATGGTTTGGAGAGAGCCTACAAATCATATTAATGATTGTTACTTTTGCATGGTACCTTGTGTTGGACAAGCCACAGGTATGTCCAAGAAAAAAAATCGGTTATTAACTACCCAAACATACCATCTGCGATGAGACCTGTGCCTCACAGTGACGAAAATCCTATTCCAAAACCCCCAGAATCCTACACTTGCGAATCAGAAAACGAATCAGATCATGGCGATCGAGTGATTCGTCAGGAAGAAGATATGCCATCAACGTCAAGAGATCCTGATTTTATACCGAGCACGTCATGCCACCAACCGCACAAAATAACACAGTCAGAATTAAATGATCTTGTAAGAGATTTAGAACTTCCAAAATGTAAGGCAGAGTTACTTGGATCAAGACTGCAGCAGTGGAACTTGTTAGAAGACGATGTTTCGGTATGTGTTTTTCGTAAACGCCACAAAGACTTAGAACCATTTTTCAATATGGAGAATAACTTGGTTTTCTGCAGTAACATTAACGGCTTACTGGCGGCTTTAAATATAAACTATAACCCGGAAGAATTGAGATTGTTTATAGACAGTCCAACATTGAGTTTAAAGGCAGTGTTATTGCATATTGGAAATATTTTACCATCTCTTCCCGTAGGGTATGCAGTTCACATGAAAGAATCATATGACAATAAGAAGTACCTATTGACATGCATAAAATACGATGAGCACCAATGGCATATTTGCGGCGATTTGAAAGTTGTTGCACTTTTACTTGGGCTGCAGCTAGGCTACACAAAGTTTTGCTGTTTTTTGTGTGAATGGGGCAGTCGAGCAAAGGCACTTCATTACACCAGACAAAACTAGCCTGTTTGTCAATTCCTAGAGCCAGGTCAAAAAAATGTACAGCATATGCCATTAGTAGAGTCGAAAAAAATTTTATTACCACCACTGCATATCAAGTTGGGCCTAATGAAAAACTTTGTCAAGGCATTAGATAGAGATGGGTCAGCTTTTCAATACCTGCGTCAGAAATTTCCAAGACTAAGTGAGGCAAAGGTTATAGAAAGTATTTTTGTTGGGCCACAGATTCGAAATATTTTAAAAGATACACAGTTTGAAAACACTTTAACAGGTATTGAAAGAACTGCTTGGAATGATTTCCGTCTGGTGGTCACTAATTTCTTGGGAAATAGAAAAGCTGACAACTATAAAACCCTTGTCAAAAATATGCTGTCATCGTATCAAAAGATGGGCTGTAATATGTCTTTTAAGATACATTTCCTACACTCACACCTGGACTTTTTTCCTGACAATTGCGGAGACGTAAGTGATGAGCACGGCGAACGTTTTCATCAGGATATTTCAACAATGGAAAAAAGGTACCAGGGAAAGTGGAATCCTTCCATGCTTGCAGACTACTGTTGGACTCTTGGTAGAGATGCTCCAGAAACGATCCATAAAAGAACAGCAAACAGACAGCGCATATAGTGATTCTTATAAGTATATGAATCTTGTTACTTTTTAATATATCCTTAAAAATAAAAAGTTTTTTTTCTAAACCGCAACTAATTTTTTTATTTCATTGTCATTTTTGGATTCAGCGCCCCAAAATTAACAAAGAAGTGCACTTTTCCCACAAGATACAATTAAAAAACTAAAATTTGTTGTCCAGTGTTATTTCTCAATAAAAATTTATATTTTTCCACTAAAAACCTCACGAACTTATTTGGTTACCTGATATTTTGAAAGCTATTTTTACTATTGAAAATGACCACATATAAAAATTTATAAAAAGAACACCAAAATGTCTAATTGGAAGAACTGGAGGGTATAAATATTGTTTAGGTGATGTTCACCATTTACGAAAAAGTCGAACATACCACCTTTATGATTGCTTGTTTGGGCCCCAGCAGAACCCAAGTTCTATATACGCCTGTATATATTCGTGCATAGTGCAGGTTATTTATGGCGGACTGTGATGGTTGTGCTACATCTATCTATGCATAGTGCAGATGTCGAGCAGCTATAAGACTTATGGGTATTTCTGTCATTTTCAACGTATGATTTGCGGATGAAATCAGCTTTGCGAAATATTGGTAGGTTGCGATTGTCAGATGTCTCACCTGTCAAATTTGTCTTGATAGTGCAAATGACACTGGATATCCTAAAATTTTCTAAATTCGAAATGACTGATTTTAAAAGCAAACTCTTAACTTTGGTATTTCAATTTCACGGGCCCACAAGTTTCAATGAAATCTTACATGTCTTGATAGTACAATCAAATCTTCATTCTTTTCTGTTAGTGCATTCGATTCGTTTGTATATTTTTAACTACTTGTTTTACACATTTGTTACAAACCGAAAAATACGTGAACAATTGGGGTATATCACTAACAGAAACACGTGAACTTATACCATTTGGATGTTGCACCCTCCTCCCACTCTGATATCTCTGACACTCTGTCTCTTTGATAGTCACTTGACAAAACCTCTCCAATGTAATCGAAATAGGTCGTTATTGTTAATATTGATAAGTTCATGATCAACGAATATTTTACAAGTTTGATCATATTAAAATTGTTTCTTAAGCTGAGTTGTTTGTTATTGTTTATTGTTACTTGTTAAATGCTTAAAGTGATTTGTTATGTCAAGTTTTCTGTCAGTTTTCATCTACATATACTAAGTGACATATAAATCCGAACACCCAGTTTAAATGGTTTTATTTTAATAAAATTTTGTATAAGTACATAATAAGTAAATGATAAAAATTTCAAAATGATTGCACTGCTTTAAAGCCCTTTGACCTTTAATAATGTGTGGATGCACCCTGATGTGCTACGCATTCTCCAACGCGCCTAGGCATGCTTCTGATCAGGTGGTCAATGTCCTCCTGTGGTATCTCATTCCAGGCAACCACCAACTCCTCTCGAAGTGCTTCTAGAGTCTGAGGAGGACGTTGCAAATTGAGCAATCTCCTACCCATCATATCCCACACGTGCTCAATTGGGGATAAGTCGGGAGATCTTGGTGGCCATGGTAACAATGTGACATCATTATGTTGAAAGAAGTCTATTGTGACTCTTGCAACATGTGGTCGGGCATTATCTTGTTGGAAAGTTGGATCTGCCAGGGTGTCAAGGTAGGGTAAAAAGATGGGGTTCTAGAACTTCGTGGATATAACGCTGCGCGTTCATGTTACCTCTGATGAAGATTAAAGGTGACCTGGAACCATAAGCTATAGCACCCCAAACCATAACTCCAACAGTGTGATGAACATGTCTTTCAATAAAAAACTGTGGATTCCTCCTTTCACCACGTCGCCTTCTATCCCTGGCACGACCATCGTGCATGCTTAAACAAAATCGAGATTCGTCACTAAAGACAATAGGGGAGACTGTTGTACCATGGAACATTTTTTATGTTTTAATTTTTTTAATTTTTTGTAACTGTTTATTTAACAAAAAATGTATGCCAATGTGTTCGTTTAGGTGTTGGCTTTATATTTTTGTAAGAGTTATCAATTATTAGAATTTAAAATAGTAATAAAATGGATATTTTTACTGGCATGTCAAATGCTCCATGGTACACAACCGTAATGTACCATGGAACATGTACTCTTGTACCTTGGAACATAATAATCCCAGGTACTTTGGTAAATGGAATGCAAAAAGAGAGATGTCCAGAGTATTATTTTTAATAAATCATGTTCCAAATGACTCACAAATAATAAAACCTTACAAATAACTAAAACAACAAACATTAGTGAAAAAAAAATATAAGAAAAGATTTGTTTCAGCGTTTAACACAAAAATCACAAATATATATTTTGCACCCTTCTTTAGTTGCAGCACAGAGTTCGTGGGCCCATCCTAAGCAGGACATGCATCGGATCCATTGCTCTCCATGAATGTCATTTTTAAACGATTCATTGCAAAAAAGGCACTCCTCGTCATTGCTGTCCTCATCATCAGTTTCTACAAGATGAACTATATCGTCCTCCTCTTCAGAAGATGAATATTGAACTTGTTTCCTTTGCTGATTCTTCTTCTGCCTCCTTACTTTTAATTTTTTGATTTGTCTTTATTTTGTTCATTTGTTTCTTCTATATTTATACGACGTTTAAAGGAGACTTTCTTTTAATTTTTTAACCGTTCTTTTTCCGGAGTGTCTGTTGCAATCATGGTTTTGCCACGCTTTCTTCCTTTATTGGTAGCTTTTCTTGGTTTTGCTTTTGGGTAAGGTACAACGTCTTCAGGTAGTAAGTTTACAATGTCCGTTGATGATTTTCTTTCTGTTAGTATGGGAAACTGATTTGAGTCAGTATTTATTTTGATTTCGGAAGGACCTGGTTTACTAAGTGTCTCTTTTGATATGTTCAAATTTGGTTGATATGGCCCTTGTAAATTAAAGTCCACACTGGTTCCAGGAAACACTCCTTTAGGCCTATTCTCAGATTCCTTTTCGAAATTATGAAGAGTGATTGAGCCTTCCTTTGCATCATTTGGGCCAATAGATTTTGGATCTGGCCTATCAGTAGCATATGCTGGTAAAAAGTCTTGTTCAGAAAAAATGTTTCTGTCAAGAGGGAAAATACCGGCTTTCCGGAATCCATTGCAAATGTTTATTGGACAGAACGCACGTGGATATGCCTTGCCAACTACTTGTCCAACAGCATAAATGTCAAAAGTCTGTCCAGGGTTGTTAAACAACCATTCCGTCACTAACTGGTTGTAATGGCATTTAAAAGATCCGTAGACTGACAAGTCTAGGGGTTGCAATTTATGAGAAGTGTGTGGGGGGAATGTCACAATGACAACGCCATTGTCTGAAGCCAAATTAAGAGTTTTTAAGTTTAAGTGGGTTTCATGATTGTCCATAACTAAAAGTACACGATCTGACTTGGATGGCCTTACACTTTTTATGAAATGATTCATGAATTGTAAGAAAGTATCTTCATTTGACCACCCTGTCTGTGTAGCAGCCCCAACCGATCTCGGTGGAGCGCCAAATAACATCCTCTCTTTGAAGTGTACACGGGGAAAAATCAACATAGGACTTATGTGATTTCCACTTGCACTGACTGCTGTTATCAATGTAACTAAATTGCCACGTTCAGCAGAAGTCACACTACCAACCTGTCTTATTCCTTTTGGTGCCACAATTTTTCCAGGGGTTTGGACAGTGCTCATGCCAGTCTCATCAATGTTCCAAATCCGCTCAGCTGGAATAGGTCCAAAGCGGTTATGCACACTTTCAATATTATCAAAGAAAGCACTGACATTGGTTTTATTGAAACTACTTGCCCTACTTAAGCTAGTAGCCTCAGGTGTCCTTATAGATAAGTCTGGGTGACGTTTCATAAAAGCCCTCATCCATTCCTCACCTGCAATTTGATTCTGGTGCCATGTATCTGGAGAAGCTTTATTATTTGCTGCAGCAAACTTGAAAGCGAGTTCTCTTACACTTTTTTTCGTCAAGCCATAATTCATTTTTGCCACCTTTTTTATATAAAGGAGCAAACAATTCTCTTCATAATCAGTGAATACTTTTTTGTTATCCAGTCTTGGTTTATATTCGAAAGTTTGACTCTCTGATTTTCGAAACCGAGAAAGATGTCTTGACAAAGTTGTTAACTTAACACCAAATATTTTACATGCTTCTCTTAAAGATATATTTTCTGGATCCAAAACTGCCTTAACAGCATTTTCTAATGCAGTAGAATTAACAGGAGGTCTTTTGACGTTCAATTTGCTGCGAGGCATTTTACCTAAAACAAGAGAAAAACTCGATAAAAATTATCGTCATGTACCATGAAACGTGTTCCAAGGTACAAGCTGTTTATGTTCCAAGGTACAGGAAGGGACCTTGCCGAAACAAAATCGCTTCCTAACCTACAAACTGTCGTAAACTGATTGTTTAAGAGGATGAATCTACTCACCACATTACAAGGACTTCTATTATTCTAATAAAGTCCACAATCCGACTAGCACCTTCGATTAAAGAAAACGAATTTGAAATTAAAAATTTTTACTTCTGTCTTTGAAAAATAATATTTACTCACAAAAACCACGGGGTGATCAGTAGAAAGCTCAAATTATTGTAAGGGATCTGTAACGGTAATCTAATTTAGGAAATTTATTTTCCGGCCGCTAGATGTCAGAACTATGAAAAAATGGTATGTGTTCCAAGGTACACTATGCCCAAGTACAACAGTCTCCCCTACTGTTCCATTCCTGATCCCAGAGTGACCGTTGTCTGCACCACTCAAGGCGATTACGTCGGTGTTCTCGAGTTAAAGGGAGGACCCAGTGTGGCCGGTATGAAAACAAGCCAAAACTTCGCATGCCAATAGGTCTTCCGTGTTCTGCAAACCATTCATTTGCAATGGACCTGGTAGTGGAGAAACGGTCCCTTAAGGCCAATAATCTTAGGCGGCGATTTTCACGGTCTGTTGTTCTACGGCGGCGTCCAGTGCCCCTTGCTCTTTGCGTACGGCCTTCTCGAAGCCATGCCTGACAACACCTAACCACAGTGTCTACACTTCTTTGCACTCTAACTGCAATTGCCCGAAAAGAAAGTCCAGCTTCCCGAAGTCCCACTATGCGGCCCCTATCAAACTCACTAAGTTGACGAAATCGTACAGGTCTCCGTACTCTAGGCATCGTAACCGGTCGTAAAGGATGTCAAGAACCAAAATCCGCCAACGTTGATTCTTTACTGCGGCTGAAATATTCATTTTTAGAGCGTTAGTGAATTAAAAAAAAGCAGTATAAAAACCGGAATGTCCAATTGATAAGGCTGAAAATTTGTTCACTTGTTATTTACAGTAAGATAAATACATTCAGCAACTTTTATTAAAATAAAACCATTTAAACTTGGTGTTCGGATTTATATGTCACTTAGTATATACTGTTATCTGTCTAGTAGTAATTGCTTTTGCAAATATTCAGCATTGACCATATTTTGACATACAAGGACATGTTGAAATTGTATAGGAAAACAAAATATGATTGTTTTCAAAACAGTTTGTTGACATCATTTTTTAAAGTGCACACCTCACCATTTTACAATTCTCTGTCGATTGTTGAAAAAAACGCAACCTTATGTGGTTATTCACCTTAAAGTGTAATGGCAATTGAGTGGTCAGTTGAAATTCTCAGGCAAATTATGCTTGTGCAACTTATTTTTGCTAATTTTTCGTATCTTTAAGTTGGCAATGCAAAAACTCGTGCCCAATTATTATGTTTTATTTTGTAATGCGAATACTGATAACAGTATGTCTACGCAAAATAATGATTAATAATGTTGTCGAACTGTACAAACATTTATGTTTTTCTAAAAGCGACATTATCTCCTGAAGGATAACACTTGACATCAGATTTGATATGTATCTAGATAGGTTGATCGTTGAACTTAAAGCCAAGCACTTTGATGTCTGGTGCTTCACAATGCAATGCCTTTTTCATAACTAACGTCTCGCAAGACAGATTATATGGGATATTTAATTACGTCTTACGGAAAAACGCACGGTTTTTCCCGCTGCTAAAGTTAAATTTTATGTTATTTCGTGTATTGATGTTTCAAACCTTTAAGGACTAAATAACAACTTCGAAGTTGAGTCATTTATTTTAACAGTGAGTAGATCTGATCAAAAGAAATGTTTTTTCCTTTACCATTGTTCTGGTAAAATTAAAGTAACAAAGTTATAGCCCTTTGGAAGTTTGAGTACCGCCCTGTCTCAATAATAATATTATGTGCTCGTGTTTGGCAACAACGGATATAATCCGCCTTATTTTATTCAGTTGTATACAGTCAGTGTCAGTCGGTAACGCGTGAGTGAATAGTGGTGTCTGTTGCGTGCCTCAAACGAAATCAAAAATGGCACATGTTTATGCGGATCGGTTTCCCAATCGAGTGCAACCAACCCCTCGTGCCTTTGTTATGTAGTACAACGGGCTCGTGAATCAGGTGACTTAAGACCTCACAGGGGACGGCATGCCGGTGCTCCAAGACCTCACGATCAAATAAAGGTCCGCACTGAAATACTTGTCGGGAGGATACTTTATAAAACAAGGAAATTTTTTTTTTTATTTTTACACACATATTTTGGTTTATCTTCCTTCTACAATCATCTGAAAATTAATGACTCAACTTCAAAGTCACCCTGTATAAAACTGTGAAAATTCTCTCAGATAATGTCGGAAAAGCAAGTTGGCGTTCTTTTCAGACGTTAAATGACATTCCTTTCAACCTAACACTCCGAAATTCTGTAACAAAATCGTAAAAATAAAACTAAAATGTATCACTAGAAACTTTGTCTAATCGGAAATAGTTGTAAATATTACTTACATGCCACCCCTTTGATTTTTTATTCTTGAAGAAACCTCGATCTTGTACAGGGTGCGCCATCTTTTATGTGTGTATGTAAACATGAAATAACTTTGAAAACCAAAAACTGATTTCTATATATCGGGTATTTTTCTTAAATATGGTCCTTTACAATTTATTGGGACTAGTTTTTGAACACAACATCTATCAAGTGGCCACCTTTATTGGCAAAAACAAAATGTGCCCGTTTTTCTGCGTTTTCCATTACTTTTTCGAGCATCTCTGGTGGTACAGCAGCGATTGCGGACTTTCCAAATAACCCCACAAGAAGAAGCCCGGTGGGGTCAAATCGATATCGATTTCCATCGACTGTTTCGTTTTCGTTGAAGAAAAATGATGGTGGATATCAACAAGATATTGGTCACTAACTTGGTGTTAGTCAAGCAATGGTATCTCGGAGTGTGGCTAGAGTTGTGAACAGCATAGTTGCACAGTCGAACGAATCGATCAAGTTTCCAACTACCAACCATGAACTGATGGAGGCCAAGCGGATGTGGCAAATCATGTATACATTTCCGACAGCAATTGGTGTAATTGATTATACACATATAGGTATCCTGAAACCAAATCGTCATGGAGATGAGTATGTCAACCGAGAAGGGAAACATACTTTAAATGTGCAAGCCACTTGTGATGGCAGATAGATGTTCACAAGTGTTGATGCCAGTTGGCCTGGATCAGTGCATGATTCCAGAATATGGAGAAATTCATAGACTAGATCACAACTAATAAATAAAGCAAATGTTGTACCACTTGGCGATGACGGTTATGGTATTGAGCGATGCCTTATGACTCCCTTCAGAAATCCTACTCCAGGTGCAGAAATAAATTATAATAAGCTTTTAAAACAAGAAAGAGTTATAATTGAACGCTGTTTCGGCCAACTGAAATGCCGGTTTCTATTCTACAGTATGTTTGCCGCGTAAAGTTGGAAAATGTACCGAAAATAATTATTGCTTGAATTGTACTCCATAATGTTGTGAAGAGCTTGGGAGATGCTGACTTTGAGTTAGTTGAACCCAGATAAAGATGAAAGAAATCATGAGAATGACGAACTTCCTCTCCGCCAACTAGGTCAACAAATCAGAAGAAACTTGAGTATTATAACAAATAGTTTTATTGATTAAAGTGTATTTATAAGTTATAATAAGTTTTATTTTCGTGAACATCATAAGTTACAGGTGCTTTCTGACGCTGCATCATTTCTAATTTCGTTTTATAATACTCTTGTTGTAAAATACTTGTTTGGTACTGCTGTAATATCACTAGACGCTTAAGTTCTTTTGTAGTTAACCCTTTGGTTTCCTCAGTTTCGTATTTATCTGTTGCTAGTTTTCTTTTTGGTGGCAATGTCTTCTGAATTGCTGGCGCTGTCATACTAACTATTTGCTCACTGCGCTCGGTATATAGTTCACTTCCTTCTTCTTGAACACTACCAACTTGAATGGCACCTCTAATTTTCCCTATCTAACAATTTAATTGCTTTATTACCAGTTTTTTTTTTAGATCTGCTTTTTTCTTCAATCTTGATTTCATGTTGTTGATTTTTTTTAATAAGCCTTTAGTATCTAATGGTTTACCGAATCTTGATTCGTATTTTTTCAACATCTTCTTCAAGGCAGCGTCGTTTCTCATTTCTATTTTTGGAACTTGTGACTTTTGTAAAATAATGGGAGCAATGGCAATTTCATCTGCGATGAACTGCGGGTCGTTGCCATTATTTTCTATAGTTTCCTCATCACTTGAGGATGGCATGCTTATTAATTTGATAAAACACTGTATCCATTAAAAATACGGAACGGTCTGTGTAAGCTCTGGAGTACAACTGTCAGTGATGCTGAGTGAACGAAGTCCCACGTCAACTACAAGCTGGAACAAGTCAGGACATGTCGCTCAAGATACAAATACCTGTCAACCTTTTACTTCTTCTTGGAGGATATCCTCGCGAGTATAAGGTAATCATTATGAATATGAAAACAAAGATATGCTTATACTTCTACCTTTTTCTCCGAAGCAAGACCTTATACTTTTACCTTAAGCTTCTGTTTTATGAATACGGCTCATTAGAACGTCTTTGTCGTTGATGAACGGTATGTTGATGTTCTCCCACTGTTCCGTACTCAAGAAAATTTGAAATCAAACGGCGGATAGTGTTGTCAGACGGTGCCTGTTTGCCACGATATTTTCGACGATATGCACGTTGCGTTAACACAACTGAACGACGATTTTCAATGTAAAGGATTGTCCAATAGGGACGCAGGAAAGTATTTAAGAGCACTACAAAAATGGTGCAAAAATAAAAAACACGTTTCGCGCGCTTCGTGAACATTTCGGTCGCAACAACCGCCCAAACGAAACAACCATCGGTCGTCTGGTGCGTAAATTCGAGGCAACAGGTTCTGTGGCAAATCTGCCAGGCTCTGGCCGGCCAAGGAGCGTTCGCACACCGGAAAATATTGCTGTTGTGAAGGAGAGTATGAGAGACGATCCGAAACAATCAACAACGCGTCGATCCCAAGAACTGGGCATTTCGAGAACCAGTTTGCTCCGCATTCTCCACATGGATTTGAATGTATACTTTATCTGAAGTCACTTGAAACACTGTGAAATACCGGGTGCGTTTTATATATCTATATTTAACACGCTCTGTTGATGCAAAAATCGCCAAATTTCGCAGCAAATATCCCCCGTATAAGATCAAAGGCAGTTTCACCGGTGCACGTGGAGTAAAGCACGCCTATGCGTGGACATAGCCAATGAGAAAGCGTGTATTTCAGAGCTCCGAACAAGTGCAGGTGGCTACTGAAAATTGAAACAGTTTAGCCAGTGCCGTGTAGCGGTGAATAAATGTGTTTTCTTTAGTCTGTCCGTGTTTTTTCATAGATTTTATTAGTTTGTGTGTTTTTGAATTTTGAATACTCAGTTTACTTGTTGATTTAATTGTTGTGTTGATTGTTCTTGTGTGTCCTAAATATGGCTCTTTGGAGACCTTGGGAAAATGCTCCAAGCCACGAGGAGATGGTTGATGAACCTGTGCAGGCAGAATTCTTTCATAAAGATTTAGAGGAACAGACCCAAAGAGAAATCCTAAATATGTATGATTGTCTGAAAAACGAAAATCCAGATTCCTCGCAAAATCAAATTTTAAACAGAATTTGTATCCTGACAAAAATCAGTCGGTCTACCATTTATCGGGTTATAAAAAGGGGAGATGTAGTCAACCATTCCTTCCACAGAAAGCGCATAGGGCAAAAATTAAAAAGAATAGACGTGGGTTTTCAGGAAGATATTCGTCGTATAATATACGGATTTTATAAAGAAAATTTGGTGCCCACGTTGGAAATGATACGGGATAAATTAAAAGATTATCCTGAAGATTTTTATAATTACAAATGCTTAGACTCACTGCACTGTATTGTAAAACTGTGTGGTTTTCAATACAAAAAATTAGATAAAAGAATGGTGATTATGGAGTCGTCTCGAATCGTTGAATTGCGCCAAGAATTTTTGCACAAAGTTAAAATCTATAGAGAGCAGAAAAGAAATCTGATTTACCTGGATGAAACGTGGTATGATACCCATGATGTTGTGCAGTACGGCTGGGTTGACGACAGCAACAAGTGCATTTTAAATGCACCATGCAACCGTGGAAACGAATCATTATTCTCCATGCTGGCAGTGAAATTGGATTTATACCTAATGCCTTGCTGTTATCTGAGAAAAATATCAAAGAATCATGTGCCGACTATCATGAGTACATGACCTCCGACTTATTTGAAAAGTGGATAGAGCAGCAGTTAATACCAAACATTTCCCCAAATTCAGTGATTATTATGGACAATGCGCCATACCATTCCCGACAGAAAAACAAAATTCCGAATACAGGTACAAAAAAACAAGACATTATTGATTTTATGAAGGATAAGGGAATGGAAATACCACAAAAATCAACCAAAGCCATATTATTGGATCTTATTAAAAGACAAAAATTTTAAAAATAGTATGTTGTTGACAATCTGCTTCAGCAAAATGGCCATGAAGTATTACGTCTACCTCCCTATTACTGCATTTTTAACCCGATTGAGTTGGTCTGGGCTGCTTTAAAAAAAAAGTAAGAAAACATAATCATACCCCTCAATTAAGTGAATCGCTATTGGCCACAATAAGAGATGCAGTATCTCATATTGCTGCCACAGACCTATGGAAGCAGTGTTCTAGGCATATTGTTGAAAAAGAAAATGGATATTGTGGTTTGCCTCGTGTAAATCCCTTTGTAATTCCTCTACAAGATGACTCTAGCGACAGCTCCGAAGGCGAGGATGATATATAAATACCTATAATGTAAGTCTTTATATACCTTTTTATATACCTACCTGCTGTGTAAATATTTGCCTATGTCAAACGTTGGAATTCTGTAATTTTTCCATTTCTTAACTTTCAGTCAACATAAATTGAAACTCCCAATATAAGTATTTTTTATCCCAAATCAAAAAATAAGAAGATAGTAAAATCCATTTATTGTGATATAAAAACATTATTATTATCGTTCTAAATAAATGACCGCACGCCTATGATACGTCATGAAATTACAAAGGACGCGCCGACCAAAGGTTTTTATGCTATTTCAAGTGACTTCAGATAAAGTATACACGCCTACAAGATCCAATTGACGCAAGAGCTGCGTCGGGCCGACCATTTTTCGCGCCGAACGTTCTCAGATTGGCTCCTTGAACACCGCCAAATTGATGCCAATTTTTCATCAAAAATCATGTTCAGCGACGAAGCGCATTTCACTTTGAATGGGACGGTAAACAAGCAAAACTGCCGCATCTGAGCGAACGAAAATCCCCGTGAGTATCAAGAGCAGCCGATGCATCCTCAAAAAGTGACTGTGTGGTGTGCATTGTGGTCAAAGGCATCATCGGACCTTACTTTTTCGAAAATGCGGCCGGGGATGCCGTTATCACGTGATGATAGAGGACTATTTTTGCCACAACTTGAAGGAGTGGATATGGATGACGTTTATTTCCAACAAGACGGTGCAACATGCCACACAACTAACGTCAATATCCATCGATTGCAGTCCTTCTTCGGTGATCGCGTGATTTCGCGCAGAGGAAATGTGCCATCGCCACCAAGATCGTGCGATTTGACTCCCGTGGACTTCTTTTTAAGGGGGTATTTGAAAAGCAAAGTCTACGTCAACAAACCAGCCACCCTCCACCATCGCGTAGACGTCTGTAAATCCAGTCGTGGTGAACATTTGAGCGATATTATTTTTCATACATAAATGGTATAAATGAACCTTCAAAATAAAGTACCCAACTTGATTTGAATATCAATCTTTCTTGTTTTAATATGCGTTTACTTTCCTGCGTCCGTTTTGAACAACCCCATACATTGTGACTATTTCGGTGAAAAGCGATTCATGACGAAAATTGTAGTAAATTGACGTTTCAGAAACACGTATAACCAATTCACTCAGTTGGTAAATATCAAAGTCATTCGATGTTTCAATACCGACATAAAAGATGACACACCCGGTATAATTATCCAACTTACGGTGTCATTTGACCCTGACGGGTATTTAGTGGTCAGTTGGAATGCTTAGACGAATTGTATTTATGTCCGCAACTTATGTTTG